TTTTCTCTTATGGTTTTTATTTTGTTAAAAATTTCTTTAATAAAAATTATTTTAAAAAAGAGAAAAGGAAGGAAGAGAGGAGATGGCAGCAGAAAAAACATGGAGGAAAGACATGGCTTTTTAAGAAGCTGATTCATCCCATTCTGTCTGCCATATGCTGGCTTGGCAGTGGCAACAGAATTGGTGCTGACCGTGCTCCATGGTGATGAGGGGGATTCATGGGAAGAAAATGTTGGTTCTTTAATCCTGATTTGTTTCAGTTTTGATATCTTCAGTCCTGCTGTATTTGGGACTTCTTGAGATTCCAATGAAAAGGAGGAATATAATCCTATAGGCACGTTCAGTTCAATTGCTTAAATGGTCTATTATGAATGTGAAAGGGCACCATCAGGAACAACTTGGGTTTCAAAAAATTGGCAGAAATTTTTGCCTGGCCCCTTTCATTTTGATGGGGTTCCAGTGTGTTCTTATCAAAAGCTGAAAGGTCCTGAAACTTTCGTTTTGAACCTGCAGGTGTTCTTAGCAAGGCTTTTTTTTTTTTTAATTTGCTTTTAAAACAAATAGCTCCTATTGTGAGTTACCACATCTGTGCTATGTGGTTATGGAACCCAGGGGGAGGTCACCACAGGAGGGGGGAATTCTGTAAGAAGAAAACATCTGGATATTGCTTTGAGATTCAGTTGTAGCTTCTTATATTTTATTAAGAAGCGAGGAAAGTTGTGTTATGCTCAACTCTAGCATGGGGGTGGGGAGGGAAAGAGACTCACAAAAAGGCCAGTGAACAAGTATGCCCTCCCCTCAGTGAATTTGGGATTCATGCAGGCTATTCAGGCAGCATCTGTTTTAAAAGATGTCTTGGTAACTAATGTGACAACCCAATAAAATCTGCACATTTCTTGTACAGGATGCTAATGTGTTCCATATTGAGGCATTGTTACGTTCCTGGGCAATAATTGCTCAAGTGGTTCCATATTTCAATTTGAATGAAGGGTGCCCTGGGAGGAAGCGTGTCCACCAGCTTTACAGTCCAAGCGCTCGCCTGCATAAAAGATAAGGCTGCACGGTGAGGGTAGCTCAGCGTGATTTTTAGCGTGGGCTCTACATTTTCTCTAATCCTAGGATAAGTAGTCTTCCATTTTTCTCTTCTCTCCCCCCCCCCCTCAGTCAGCTGCAGATTTAACCTTCAGGAGTCTCCTTGGCTGGCTATATGCCTCAGCCTTAGAAGGAATTGAAACTCCATACAACTGTTGCCTCAGCAAGTAATGCTGATGACTAAATATTTAGGAACTATCCCATTAAGAGATGAAAGCAAGCACGTAAAGTGGACTCAGCTGACTGTTCCACAGCTAAAAGACAGCTGCAGCAAAGTGCGTTATGATTTCAGAACATTTATAAAAGGTTGCGTTTACGCATTATAGCTTCTGGGTAACAAACCGGAAAGTTACATTGGCTCATTCAGTCTCATACTGAATATTTGCTAAAAACAGCATGTTTCAAGGGGCCACTTGGGAAGAGAAAGTACAGAACTCATTTAAGGGCATTCTTCAGGATTCGGTACAGGGGCAACTAGCGCCATGAAGAGGCCTATACTGGTGATTAATTAGAGCGATGTTGCTTTAGCAAATGTAGTCCCCTGTGAGGAAAACCTGGACAGACAACAGATACAGACTTTTGTCTAATTGGATAGACAAAAGATACAGACTGATGGCCAGGCTAGGGATGGTTGTTATCAGTGAAAGAAATTTACCATACATGCCCAAAAGGAAAACAAACATTTTTCTCAAGGGGTTACCAACAAATTCTAAGTGCAGACGTGTTACATTTGCTAAGAATACAGTAATAGAGGAAGCATTGAATGCTCAAGTTCGATGGGGCAGCAGTTAATCTTACTTAGTGCAGGAATATAAATCCAACAGGAGGATGCTGTTGAAAGGGCTCAAGCAGGTGAAAAATGCAACTATTTAAAGGAAGGGTCAGAAGAAAGGAACTCACTTCATAGGGGAATGGGAACAAATGCACTCATTCTGTCTCCTTGTCACCCTTCTAGAGGAAGAATATCTGCAGTGCACAATCTCATCCCCAAAGATATGCAGGGGAATGAGGATTTTGAAAAATCAGTTCAAGCAGCAGAGAAGTTCTGTACTGCAAACACTCACCAACACATGGAAGGGAGAGAGGGGAATGGGGCTAGCATAGACTTAGTTCTTAGGTACAGAACTCCACGGGACTTCCTACAAAATAAACATGCACATTTATTCTATTAAGTTCTCTGTCATTCCATTTCCTTTTCTTACATATAGAAGGGGGGGGGGAGTCCAATATCCCAAGAATCTCTTCCCCAGTTTGCACATTAGTTTACACAATTCAGTTAATTGGGTTGGTGGACTAGGGTAGCATGTGGTAGGGATAGATCAGTGTTTTTCAAACTTGGCAACTATTAAGATATGTGGACTTCAACTCCCAGAATTCCCCAGCCACTCGTTAAGTAAAATCACATTTAATCCTGGCCTGGCCCTTTCTTGGAGTGTCATTTGTTGTGTACAATTATATGCAGATAATATATACATAATATATACAGTAATGTCACATGTCCATATTTTGTCAAGGAAAACCGTCTTTAGCACTGTTTTTCACTGAAAATTGACAACGGATACAAGCATCTACAGATAGTCCTCACTTACCAACCACAGTTCGAAATTGTGACAGTGCTGAACAAAGGGTACCTGAACCGGTCCTCGAAGCTCTGGTTGTTGCAGCACCCCCATAGTCACATGATCACAATTCAGGTGCTTGGCAACCAGCTTGTACTTACAGTGGTTGCAGTGTCCTGCGGTCACCTGATCGCCATTTGTGACTTTCCCTCTCAGCTTCCCACAAGCAGTCAATGGGGAACCCGTCAGGGAAGGCTGCAAGTTGCTCTGGCAAGTCCCCCGTGCCTTCCTGCACACTGCGCCATGCCCTCCTTCCCTGGGCCTCCCTGTGCTTGCATGCGTGCACCTGCAGCACCCCCTCCCCCAACTCACATGCAGCCTACACCAGGCCTCCCCACCCCCTTGCAGCACCCCACACTTACCTGAGCTTCCACCAATTCCCACTTAACGACCTGGGCAGGGGTTACGACGGCAACTGGGACTGCCTGGATTACTGTCGCTAAGCGATGCAGGCATGTGATATCGTGTTTTAAGATAGCATTGCTTAGTGATGGCAATCTTGGTCCCAATATTGGCCATTATAACTCAAGGACTACCTCTATAGTTTTGTGTGTGTGATTTTAAACTTATTTTCTATCTAATCTTCCTTTAGGGGGTGAGAGTGTCTCCGATTTAACAGAGTCTTCCTTTCAGATAATGTTCTGCAGAGTTACTATTTGACTGTGAGATGACTCTGCTTTCTCCCTGCCATCCACTCGAGTTATGGAACGAATCCTAAGCAGTGATGATCAGTGAATTATTTGGACTCCACTCCTATTCCTTCAACTGCCTCAGCTTCCTACATAACTGTTCCTATTCAAACCTCAAATGTGGGCTGTCATTCCAAAGCCAACTCTAACTCTGAATATTTCACTCACCCATATGTTTTAATTAACACAAGATCTCTACCTCCTTGTACATTCCTCTCACAAAAAGTCATATCCAAACCAATACACAGGTTCAAAGATTACTGAAGTATAAGAAAGGCACTCCTGCAGCTATTTCTCATTTTAAGTTCAACTGCCTGCATTTTCCTAGGATACATCTACTGAATGTTCACAAAACACATTTCAAACAAAGACACCAGACTTGTCTTCCCCCATTCCCATTGGGTGTTTTATTTTATGTATTATTTGCATTAGGTAATCAACTGAAACACTCAACAAGAGAAAGCTTTCAGCAAAGTAAAGGAAAAAAATAAAGCAATTCTATCAAACAGCTGTGACAAAATGGTTTTAAATTTGGGAGAGTATTGAACAACTGAATCCATATGTGAAAAGGAAGAGTGAGCATCTTCTAACACAGACTGTGAGGAAAAAGGCACTAGTTTTGATGTGTATCTTAAAAAATAATGAGTCACAATCTATATTCTCAAAATTACATTCAATAATGCTTCTGAAATGCTGCAATATAGAAACTACAGCTTGGCTTACCAAAATTTCAGTAAGAGAGAAATCCAAGCATCTGAACAGATTTTTTTAAACCAAATATATAAAAATCACAAGGGTTTCCATTTATAAATAGGTGCCACAAAAGGTTACATACCTACATGGGCTATGTATACAGTATATCTTGGCAATGGATCATTGATTACACTTGTTCTAGTCTGTACTAGAGTGATCACAGAATGCTCCACTCTTAAGAGCTAATTGGCAGTGCACACGGAAGAGGCTTTTTGGGTTTTCGTGGTAGCACAGATTAGGCACTGAATATAGAAAACAACATTTCCAAGACCTCTTTCAGCTGCAATGCTGGAGAAGTTAACGTAAAAGCAAATCTTACTGAAATCATAAAGGTTTTATTTCAGAGTACACAGAGCACAGACAGGGAGTAAGGTTCACGGTGGGGAAGTATCAGCTGCTCATGTTTAGATATGCAAAATATCTAAAAAGCAATCAATTTGTAAAGGACCGCCTTTCCCTTATCCGTTAGGCTCCAAAAACAGTATTACAGCTTAGCTTCCTTCTAATCACTTGAGAACTCTGTGCATATACAGTATTTGAACAAATTGATGCATAAACCCATTGTGCATTTTGAAACATTGTTTGCTAGAATTCTGACATAAGTATAAAAGCTTACTTTATTATGCGGATCAAGTTGTGCACATTGGAGAAAAAGTGTAACAGTTGAAACTTTTATTCAGTGCTGTTTTGTTCTCCAAGGCATGTGATTTCAAAAAACGTATTCTAAATTATCATGTTGAAAGGCAGGTGTGTGTTCAAATTTGGGCATGTACAGCAATGGCTCGGCACGAGGCTATTTTAACCTGTGAAACAGGTCTATGCAACAATGTACTTTCCACAACTGTGTTTTAATTCCAGAGTCAGACGCCTTGCCTATTTATGTGTACGCTTCTCGTTCATTTCAGTAAGGGCAGCAATTCATGCGCATAACCACCCCATCCCCTGCTCGTGTGAATACTACCTCCATCTCCAGTGGGCACGGTGCTTTCGGGTAAGTAATAATTCACTGGATCTGGGGAATACTACTATATCTGAAACATTACGATATACACATTTCATATATTTGGATTTACAAAATATATAAATAATCCGAATATCACTACCCACCTCCCACTGCCTAAAGATTTATAAAGCAATTCTTTTAACTTCATTCAAGTGTTCCTACTAATCAAATTCTTTAAATGCATGCATTAAAATATTTTAAGGAATTTAATATTCCAGACTAATAATCATCTGTACTATGGGCTGCACTTTTAAAGAATATATGTTCTTCAATATTTAATACAAACTTGAGATTTACAGTCTTAAAAAACCAATGAACAAGTTATCCCTGCTTGCTGAAATGTAGAAGGGAAAGTCAGTTGTAACAGTTCAGTATATACTACTGAGTCTGGAATATTAAAAAAAGAAATCTCTGTTTAGCTACTATTTGACAGTCTTTGATTATCAATTTTGTTTTGACAGTTTCCTCTACTCTATCCCCACCATTTTATTTTCAAATTCAAAATGTTTTAAACAACTTTCAGAAAAGTACATTTGTAGTTTTCAACTGAGAAGCAACAGGAAAGACCCATCCTGAACCCACATGTTCAGTATGAAGGAAAAATGCTTCTACTCACAGATAGAAGAGATTGTTCAATGATCTTCTTTATAGAGTGCCACCACAAACGACTCCTAACCACAAATATTTTTTTTCAGGGGACCCAATACTTAAAAGATTGAAGAACTCACAGACCCTAATAAAATTCAGATGTAACAAGAAACTATGTTCATCATAATCCCTCATCCAATATTAAAGTACCATAGTTTGTAAGCAACTATAAACCATGGTTTGTGGGTGTCTTGACAATCCACTTATAGTAGACCATGTAGTATTAATTCAGAGGTAACAAAAGCCCCAGTTTGTGTTGGCTGTTCTACCCTTCAAAACCAGTTTAGAATTTACCCAGAAATTATTAGGAGAGGCGGGAAAAGAGGGAGATCATACTAATCATGATTTGCTCCTATATGTTTGGGATACCAGACAGTTGGTGATGTATCTGAATCAATCCTACATGCAACCAGAGTAGCTACTTATATTTTGCCTGGAATGCAAATTATCATCTATGTGTTGCAAAGAAGAAAAAATGTAAAATTCATACTTGTAATTATTTCAAGGTGTACTTAAGAGTAATTGTAAGACCAAAACTGTTTCTTACTTTTACAAGTCCATTCTGTGGTTTCCCAGGGAAGAGTGAGAAAACTTATGTAAGTTTTAGGGTGTTTATTTTGTGTAACAACAGCCATTCTACCGTTAGCAGCCCTTCCTGGAACACCTTAAAACTATACTAGATCACGTTATAGCGTAAGTCCTATTGAGGCTTTTTAAAAATGACAGTCACAGATACAGTCTGGAGATGTCCATACCAATTTCTACTCTGGATTTCCTGATCTTTATAGGGAAGATCTGAAAACAAACTTCATTCAGTAAGACAGTCTCACTTCCACATTAATAAGAGAATGTAGAAGTCAGCTGGAATCATGTTCCTATAGATCTTCCATAGTTATATTTCTAAAATTCTTGAATATGGCTATAATCCTCTAGACATTCCAGAAAGAGATTGCAGATCAAGCCTGGGTTCAACACAGCCTTTTGTTGCTCTATGCCAGTGTTTACAACTGCATGCAAGTTTAAGACTAAAAAGTAAGGAGACCTCCTCAGCCACGCTAAACAATACTGCCCTGCAAACCCCCCACCCCAACCTAGAGTCTCTTATTTGTCCTTGTTACACACTTCATCAAATGAACCTCTCCCCCACAAAAAGCTCAGCTAAAGTTTCGGTGGAGTTCTAAATGGAATATCCAGAAAAGCTGGTGATTAAAAGGAAAGTATTTAAGCAACACATAAGTCAATTATTGTAGCAAAAATCAGAGAATGTTAACTATTAACTAACAAGAAATAATGTAGTTCTTTAGAGATCAAAGCCCTGACCACCCTCCCTTTGACTAAGATTCAAACAGAACTGCTTCAAAGATTCTTTCTAAAGAAGGAGTAGAAATTGGCCTTTTAAACCATGCTTGTACTTGCAAAGTAAAATCATAGTCAAACAGAAAACCAAACAGCCCTCCCTAGGAAGATAAATAATTCCTTTTTAAAACTTTCAATACTGTTGAAATGTGTAGGCTATCATGTCCTGTTTCAAATATTGTTTGTAATTTGCAAGTTTACGTCAAATGTTTAGATGCCTGTATTTTACTTTGTAAACATTAAGACCTTTATTCAGTGCTTTCTTTAAAAGTAATTTACAACCGCATCATGCAAAGAACATTAGAGAATAAAATACAGATGATTTAAGAGTATGCAATAGCGGTGTTGTTGGTCTCAAAATATTGTGTTTCATTTTAAATGCAATCATACATATTTTAATTTTTTGCCAATATCTTAATATTGCAGTAACCTCTTTCTACAATTCTCTAACTTTTCATACAGCTTATCGGGCCTAAATTATCATGAGGAAAATTATTTTCTCTAAATGGAGTAGTATCTGATGATGTCTCATGAAGCCAAATATAACTCATTTACGATTTACAGTAACTAGGCTAAAACATATACAGCTGCCATAGTTTGTGTTTAAAATGAGCATTTAGGAAATAACAAAAGGGCCTTCCTACTCTTTTACCCACTTGCTGTCTACTTTACAATATTGCCAGCACAATCATATGCATTTACTCAGGAATAAGTCCCACTGTGCTCAGTAGGGCTTAATCCCAGGTAACTGTAGACATCATTGTAGCCTGAGTATCTAAAATAAACCTGAACTAATGAAGATAGACCTAAAGGCAAAGCAGCTCATGTCCAATTAATAGACACACACTCTTTCCTTTAACATACATCCACATAGTGGAGAATTTGCAAGGACTGATATCCCATGTAGTCTGCACCATGGTACTAGGATGAAGGATCCATACTGCTTTTTTGGAAATAATTTGCACAGTCACATATCTACATGGTGGCGCTAGCTCACATTACGCTGGACGACCCCTTGTTCTGAAGCACAACGTTAAATTCTCTTCCTAACACACAAGAATGAAATCAACAGGCAAACTATATAACCATTAGCCTGGACAATCAAGATTTTTGTTGTGCTCTGAACATCAACACCTAAGGTTCATAAGCTTACTATATTTTAAGTAGCCAAGTACTCTAATAGGAATTACTGCGTTTTCCCATAACTAATTCTGCTGGACTTAAATGGCTATAAAACAGTCAGGCTCATGGTAATATAGTAAAGTGACATAATCAGTGTTTGTCATCTAAACAAAAGCACACTGCATAGGAAAGCAGCGCCATTCTAAAATCTCTCTAAGAAGTAGTCAAAGTAAAATATACATAAAAGTAAAAGCTTTACTTAACAGTCTCATTACCTTATTATAATAGCATCATGTTTTTGGCATTAAAACATTCAATTATAGATAGAACTTCTTTCATTTGTATAACAGATACACACTTTTGATAAAGTTTTCCTCTCCATACATCTGCACGTTTAGCACTCTACTGAATGTAAAATTCAAAGGTTGATTTTTAACTGATTCTTTTAAAAATCTTCATACCTTAATGCTATTGTTTTAAAAAATCAAGTAGAATTGTGCACCAACAGGGAATTTTAAGAATGGCAAATGTTCTTGAATTTTGTTTAAAATATAGCATTTCAGAATGTAACTAACTGCGAAACAATCTCATTTATGTTGTAAGGTGCTAACTGTGGCAAATGCAAGTTTACTAAGTAACATAAGGCAGTTCAATGAATACACTGACATCAATTTCTTCATATCTCTCCTGGCCAGGCCACATGCTTCAGTTTTCCTTTTCCTTTTAATCATGATAAAAGGATGAAGATTAAGTTGTTTTCTGAAAAAGGAGATCCTGGACAGACACATGGTATATTTAAATTTGTTATGATCACTGAAGTATGTTTCAGTGATGTCCAACTGTTAACTCAAAGTGGGGACTTGAACAGCAAATGGGATTCTTTTACTTTACATCCAACAAAACTGGTGCAAAGACACTTTAAACAATTTACTTCTAACCTTTTGGTCCGAATACATAAAATATGCATTATTTACAGCTGTTTTCTCCTTCTGCAAATGCAATGCTTTAAAACACATTGTAAAGCACCTTAGTAAAAATATTCTACTGGTAAAAGTATCTAAATAGGAAAACCCTAACCATACCACAGCTCACTATTTGAGTCAGAAAATGGATTTGCCAGTAGTTGTTAAAAATTACAAAGAATCCATGGAACATTGATACAGAATCCATTATCTGTTTTACATTGAAGTGTAGGCAAAAGCTAACTTCTTAACAGTTTTTCCAACGTAGGTTGGAGGTTCAAAAGATATTAAAGAAACACTGAGTGATTTTCAGCCTTTTCACAATATTACTACAGGATTTGATTTTTTAAAAGAACACACTGATGACCAGTTCTAACTTCTTAAAATGAAAATCCATATTTATAAATATGGTCATGTCCAGCTGCATCATTTCTTAGCAGAAGGTGAACATTCCAATGAATGTCATGTGATATGAATTCACAAGAACGAAGCACAAATGTCAGCCAGTTATTAATATTATTCATAAGTGTATACAACCCATGTTGACACCAACAGCTTCCTCTCTGCACCACGTTAAGTAAAATAAGCTGTTCTATGAATCAAGAAGACAATAAAAGGAAGCCTTTCCCCTAAACTTCAGCTACAACTGGTATGTGGTTAATTTCTGTAAATTTCTGTGCAAGTTTCTTTAGGTTAGGTTGTAACCTTCTTTCAGAATATTAAAGAAACTGAAGCTTAAACATAGAGATGATCAAGGTCTCTAGTCCTCAGCTATCTTCTTCAAGCAACCCACAGTGCACTCTACTGAGCTCAAGATCAAAGCGCTTCAGTTGATTTATCAATCATCTACCAATTGGTGCTGAGAATAAGGATGTGACCACAAGGTTTGTTTTCTTAACCTAAAAATATGCATTGTATTTAGTTCGATTTTGGGTAGATCTTTTCATAAAAAAAGTTTTGTGCCAGAATATATAGCTCTCCATCTTTTTCTCGAACTGCATGTGCTCTGACAAACTGAAATTGCTCAAGTGCAAATTCATAGAACTCGTTCTCCATTTTCCAGATTTCAGACTGCTGCAGCTTTGCAATGGTTTCTTTTGTGGGGAGCTTTTTCTCCGTTGTCTTCCTAAGGTGAGACTTCTTACCTAAAAAAAAAAGTGATAAGTTACAACTTCGTAGCATAAATATTCTCATTACTGTCCAGCATGGGCCATACATTTGTACAAGCTTGCATAGGTTGTTGCTGCTTTAGTCTGAAGGTTTCTAAATGGATATGCAAAGTGACATAATTTTGGCCAAGATTTATTAAGCTTTTGTAACTGAGCACCAACTTTAACCAAAAAAAAAAAAGCATTTGCATTCATTTCACCACTAAAGAGCTTAATTACTGAAAATGTAAAGAGGAAGTAATTGCATTTCTTCATTATCACATTTATTTATCATGATTAATGGTTATTTGGAAATTCAGCAGTACTGATAACAAAGTTAATAAAAACACAAAGCAATTTGTTTTGTGGTGACATCTCTTATGATATAAATGCTTCACCTTAAAATCTCTTTTAAAAGACAAGAGGACAAAGTCATTTATTGTAGGGATATACCACAAGACTTATATGTGCTTAGAATATAAGCTATAGTATATAGCTATAGTATATTATATTACTTTCGCACTATGAAAGTTAGCTCCTTATGCTCTACTCTCCAACCATAATTATGAAATAATAATAAAGGTCAGGCTATAAACCACAATGAGTTTATTTACTAAAGCAAATAGTAAGAATGTCTCCTATCAAGTGGTGTGAAAAGTGTTTAAATTCCAAACAGTTGTTCTCTACTGGGAACAGGCCATTTTGATCATTTGAGGAGTGTTTTAAACTTGAGACACTTCTGACAGGATTAAAACAGCTTATTTCAAATAGAAAACAACTGTTTTCAGCTTGACACATGGTATTTCAAATTCCAAATAGTTCAAATTTGACATGTTATACACATCCCTACTTATTAGTGATCTGAGTGCTTTGGATTCAAAGGGGAAAAGGTGGTTTGCAGGGTGTCAGGACATGCATGTAGCATCTGTTGGCAACTTCTTAAAAAGCTGGATCTTTTCCCAGGGTTATGCATCTGCTGCTATGCAATCCTGGGGAAAAAAATTTTGCTTAAGGAGCTGCTCACAGGAGCTACACACATGCTGTGAAGCACCATTTTGGCTTTGACCCTGAAGTGCTGCACAGCCCTGCTACATATAACTGAACACTCAAGAGTATATTTGCTATCTAGAAATGCAGTCTAATCCCAAAGGTGATTTGGTCTAGTGCCTATTTCCTAATACCAGGTAGGAAGCTTTACTTCCTTTTTTCCAGTAATACATTAGAAAGCCCCTGAAAAATTGAAGATCCTCTTCAAACTGTGATGAAAAAGTTAGGTCTTTGGAGCCTAAAACAACATGGCAAAGCCATTCATGTTTCGTTTAGTTTCCAGCAAGTAGTAAAAGACAAGCATGCATGTAGATGGTTCTGAGTACAAAAGCGAGAAGTGGAAAAAGCCATTGGTCTTACACATAGGTTCTCAGTAGTAATGTGCAAAACGTTCTGTGCACACAAACTGTGCCCAGACCAAAATACACATCTTCAGGCAGAAGTGCTTTTGGAGGATGGGGGGGGGGGGGAGGCAGGAAAGC